CCCCCCCACTGCGCCCCCCACTTCTCTGCCCACCACTATATTCGGCCGCCGAGAGATTGCTGAGGACGAGCATTCAATCTATGTGCCCCCCCTGGTCACGCCTAGCGAGTTTTCTGCATCGTCTGTCAGCGTGGAGAGCAGCGCCGCAATCGCATGTGCGGGAGCGGCACGATACGTCGTGGGTCTATCCGGTCTGTTTGGCTGATGTCGACAGCACCGACACAAACACGCTGATTCTGCATCAGCCCAGCCGAAGCCCACCCACGGCAGAGCAGGCGCAACGGAGCCGAGAGGAGGATGCGCGCCACCGGGAGGAGTACCGGCAGATCGAACGGCAGATAGACGACTCGCTAGCCAATGAGCTCCTCGATTGGGCCGAGGAGGAGGACAAGAAGAATGCTGAGGAGGCCAAGAAGGACGAGTGCGCATAAGTCTTCTTCCTGTCTGTGGCTGGTCAGCCACTCCCTCCTTGACATATTGTCTCGTGTCTCCCGGCGTTTGTCGAGTACAAGGGGGGCTTGTTCATGTGTATGTTCCCATATTTCAAGACGTCAACCGTTTTTGCAATGAGGTCACGGGTGTGTGGATGTGTGGATGTCTGCACAGACTCATGACTCGAATCACATTGAAAGCGCACAGGTGGTCACATATATATCAAACGTCAACCATCATTGTGCCCATCACACGGACGAGTCGGAGCCGCTCAGGAGATGGAAAAAAGGCGAGCGTCACCCACCAAAGACAAACAGTGAAGTCCGTCTCTGGAGGCGGCCGCCAGAATCTTTAGCACGCAACTGCTCCAAAAACGACTTCGCCATCACATGCACCGATGCAACCATCACGTACGTGTGAGCCAAGTCCGCCCCCGCTGTATGCACATGCAACATGCACCCTCGTCTCTCTTAAAAAGAGCAGTGACGGATCCACCGATGCAACGCCCCTGGCACGTACTTTCATCGCGCACACCCCTGGCACGTGTACGTTCATCGCATGGTCGGCACAAGTAGACATGCACCCCCCCCCCCCCC